GTGTGACTGAGTGGAGGCGGGACTAATTTGCATATTCATAGATCCGGGTATAGTAAATGAGGCAAGGGTGTAGAGTTACATTCAAGCTATTTTAAGGCATGAGAAAAGTATTTTCACAAGAAAAAACATTTAAATATGTCATTTTGATGATCAAAGATAAGTTTTAAGGGATAAAATATTTGACTACAGGGGGACTTTAACATACATCACTAAGTGATGCTCCAGGACACATCATCAATGATGTTTCCAGGGACCATCAGGTGTTTTCAAGTCTTTCAACAATTATACACCCTTGCCCAGATGACCCAGCCAGGATTGACTGTCTCCTGATCCACAACCACCATGCAGGACCCTCGGTTGCCTTTGTGGCTGACTTAATGCCCCGTTGCCTGCTGGCCCCTCTGATGCCCAGCTTGTCATACACTGCCGCAAAACCCGCAAACCCTCTGCAACCTACCTTAATTGGCTTGTACCTTGCGACAAGCCATTGCTCTGGCACTCTTCTATCAGCTCGTTACACTTGGTTCTCTTCCTCTCATTGGTCTCCTCGATACAATCCTCCCAGGGAACTGTGAGTTCTAAAAGGATGATCTGCTTGGAGGCTTTTGAGATCAGAACCATGTCTGGCCTTAGCCATGCTTTCCCTGGTCGACTTTCAGCTCTCAGTCCTGTGCTGTTGAAAGCAGGCCAAAGGAGGTGGTCCTGTAGCTGGTGTTACCTTCTCCCCAGCCTTGACAAATGTTATGGTCTTCTTCAGTGGAGGTAGGCACTTGCAGTGAGTGATCCCGCTGGAGATGATATCTGCAATGGCCTTCTGGATTTCATCATGATGTCAGCAATAACGCCCCTCACTCAGTGCTCTTTGACAGCTACTGAGGATTTGGTCCAGAGTCCCTCTCATCAGGCACAGAGGGCAAGCTGGTGACTCTGCCTTCCCCCAGTAGAACAAGTTGGGCTTGGTAGTACATCGTAGACAACCTGGATTAGGAATTTCATTCAGTGGGGCTCAGATTTCAAGAGCCCAGCCCAAGTGACTTTGCACTCCACCATTTGTTTCCACCTTGTCCAGGCTTCCTGCTGCTGCATCTCAACCATCCTGCTGGCTCTCACTTCCTTGAGCGATGCTCGTACCTCATTTTGGAGCTGCGACCTCCTCCTTGCCTTGCCATGGCAAAATGTCATGTTACTACCCAGGCCTGTTCTTCCTTGAGCCACTGTGCCCAATAACACCCTTTGCTCCAGACTTGATTCAGCAACATGTCCTGACCTCAATCACTGCCTGAGAGATTTGTGGGTCACATGACTCGTGATACTGCAACTGTAGCACCTCCCCTAGTGCGGGTCACCAGGAATTCCTCATTCAGGCTTCTGATGGGGAGTTTCAGCTTGTTTTTTTTTACCCATATAAGCTGATGCTGCTCAGACTTTGGGGTAGTCCCAGCCATTTCCATAAGAACCTGCTAATTGTTCTCTCAAAGCCCTCCACTGTAGATATCAGAACCTCGTAGATTAAGAGGGGCCAGAGGATCCTCGGAAGAATGCTATGTTTGTATATCTTAACCTTGAACTTACCAGGTAGGCCTGATTTGTCCACTGCAACTAGCCAAGCTTCTAGCTCTTGCTAGATATAAAACATCTTAAATACAACATGATTCACAAACAGCTACATGTTTTCCTGTATTTTAATTTATATGTTGTGTAAAAACAAGTCAAGTGACCTTTACTTCTATAGTGCATTGTATAATATAGATTGTGTCAAAGCAGCTTCATAAACATAAAAACAAACATAAAAAACATAAGTCAAATAGGTGATAAATGATTGCTTTTTTTCATTTTAAGGACAAAAGCAAAAAAAGTTATCTTAAGCATTTTGATTCTTGCATGTGAATGTTCCTCACCTCAATTGCTCCAGTTTACAGTGTGAATCCTTCAGTACGTCACATAAGTGATTCACTCCTGTGTTTTCTATTTTATTCCCACTCAGGTCCAGCTCTCTCAGGTGTGATGGGTTTGATTTCAGAGCTGAAGTCAGGATGAGACACTGTTTCTCTGTAATACTGCAATCCCACAGACTGAGGACAGGAAGTGAAAGAAAATGGGTCAGATCTATGATGATCATTTAAGGATTTGGAGAATTTTTTTTGTCATGTCTGACAGAAATTTGTCATTTGAAACTGACAACTCAGAAATGACCACTATCTAGCATTAAAAAGATTGATAAATGCTCTAAAAAATATATCGCTCATTGTTAGCTTAATTAATACATTAAAGGTCACATATTTTACACCTTTCTGGAGTTTTATTTTAGGTTTTGATGTCCTTAAGAATATATATTTGCGGTAAAAGTACCAAAAAAATATCATCTTGTTGTGATGTTGGGTGCCAGAATCGACGTAATACAGCATCAAATTTGAAATTTGATCGCATATCTAATGCCACTGCCAGACAAAAAAACCGACGACAGCTGTGGTAAAACGCGGTAAAACGAGCAGACTGGACAGAAACGATGTTGAAACTTATATGGTAGTTAAATAGCCCCTAGACCTCAGTTATCGTGAAAAAAGTCAGGAAATTTTGAACGACAAAAGTGAACGACAGGAACCAAACACTACAAAGGACTGTGCCCAAACAACACAAAACTACTGCAGCATTGTGACAGCAAACGTCAAATATAAAATATACAATTACAGACCCTGTTTCCATAAAAAGCAACCACAAAGAACTTTGCAAATCCATGAAAGAGCTGCAACTGCCACAACTTTAATCAGACACAAGTGCTAAAATGTGAAAAAGATGTCATGATCATAAAACCTGCACATTCGGAACACCAAGATGAACTTAAACATTTGCCCTCACCAGAAAAATCACCTGACCTGAATATTATCAAACCACTGTGGACAGTTTTGGAGTGAAGCATGAGAGACTGATTCCCTCTGTATCTGAAGCAACTGGCAGATGTTTTTATAGACAACCTTCAACTTAATACTAATCAAAAGTTGCATGAATTCATTCTAAGAAAGTTGGTGTCAAACCGGAGAACAGACAACAGGAATAGTGATTCTGATGCTTTATTGAATTGAAATTCACCAACCGACAACACAGGAATGCAAGACACTGTAAGAAATGTAGGCAGGGTACTTAGGTTCCCTTTCGATACTTCACTCATACTGCGTCGCTAGACGCTTATGGGGAAAACTCCCTTTTCTCCGAGGACTGAAGCCTTTACAATCACGCAGTGTAACTGCACGGCCATTGGTTCGTGCAGTAAAAAAAAATAAAAAATGAACCAATGCCTCGTCAGCGGTGCTGCACGAGCCTATGGCGTCGAAGCCAACCAGAGCCCGCCAGAATGGGCGGGGCCATCTGGCTATATAAGCGGACATTTCGCCATAGGATCTCAGATCAATTGCGACGACGATCTTCCCTTCGCTGATCTACGGGACTTGAAGCGCTTGCCGTTGACACGCCTCGCTGAGGACAGAAGCTGCCTTTCCTCTGCGCCTCTCTGCTGTTCACGCCCGCTCTATGAGCCCCCTTCAGCGTTCAGTGCAGACATCAGCTGGACACCTGCCGCCATCCGGAGAGTCTAAAAAGCAAATTTTAGACTAAAAGAGCAGCAGTGTTGTTTCAAATGCTGCGCCGTCATTGCGGCTCGTGCAGGATTGCACTGCACACCGCTGACGTTTTTCCCGGAAGTCCACGACGAGCTCACGAAATTGTGGCGCGCTCCCTACTCGGTTCGCCTTTGCACATCCTCTTCTTCTGCATTCTCCTCAGTGGATGGCGCTGAGGGAAGGGGCTACGAAAAACTACCTCCTCTCGATGAGTCAGTGGCTGCACACCTCTGCCCACCCACTGCCATTGGATGGAAAGCGAAGGTCGCTCACCCCTCCAAGCCCTGCAGAACAACGTCTGCCCTCGCTGGATGAGCATACTCCTCCGCCGGGCAGGCGGCCTCAGCTCTGCACTCCATGGCTGTGCTCCAGGTCTTTCAGGCCAAACTCCTCCAAGTCATGGACGAGTCCGGACCTGACCCCGCAGCCATCAAAGATGTGCGCAGTGCAACAGACCTGGCTTTGTGAGCTACAAAGGCTACAGCACAGGCCATCGGGAGGTCAATGGCCAGCTTAGCGGTGTTGGAGCGCCACTAATGGCTAAATCTCACTGAGATTAAGGAGGCTGAGAAGGTCCCCTTCCTCGACTCTCTGGTCTCCCCTACGGGGCTGTTTGGACCTGCCGTTGAGGGATTTGCAGAGCGTTTTACAGCAGCACAGAAGTCGTCCCAGGCAATGCGGCACTTCCTGCCTAAGCGCTCCAGCTCTGCAACGGCTGCCAGTCGCCTCAGACCTACACCAGCACAGCAGCCAGCGAAACCTGCGCCGCCGCCCACTCAGCCTACTCAAAAGCCAGAGCCCCAACAGCGCTCCTGCTCGGCCAGATGCTACCCATTTCCGACGCGACAAGGACCACGGCCCAAGCTGACGTTGGATTCTGCGCCTCAGGCGTCGTCCTGATCTGCTGGCCAGGAAGAGGAGGGGGCAAAGTCTCGACAGCACCGGACCACCCCAAAACGCCCTCTGTTGTGCCCTCAAGCACCCCGTTCGGTTCCGGGTGCCAGTGGCAGTATGTTTGTTCTAGAAACTGTTGTGAATACTGGGCCTGTTCCAAAAGTGTCCTCACAAACAGCCGCTGTTATAGAGAGAGAAATAAAAAACAAACATTTTCAAAAAGAGAGCAAATTTCCTCTTCCAGTTATCACAAGTTTCAAGCATGGCAACTCACCACCCGAACTAATCCAACCCCTCACCACATGGGCCGAGGCCTGGCAGGCCATACCCGGAGTGTCAGACTGGGTTCTGGGGATTATAAAACGAGGTTACTCACTCCAGTTCGTTCGAAGACCCCTGCACTTCCACGGCGTGGTCTCCACCTCAGTGCAGAGCAAGGACGCTCACATCTTACGATCCAAGGTGAAGAATTTAATGGCAAAAGGAGCTGTAGAGACGGTTCCACCAGCTCAGAGCGAGTCAGGCTTCTACAGCCGTTACTTCCTCGTCCCCAAAAAGGATGGCAGCCTCCGGCCCATCCTCGATCTCAGACACCTGAACCGTGCCCTCATGAAATGGACGTTCAGAATGACTACCCTGAAGCAGATCCTCTCGCAAAACAGCCGCTACTTCCTCGTCCCCAAAAAGGATGGCAGCCTCCGGCCCATCCTCGATCTCAGACACCTGAACCGTGCCCTCATGAAATGGACGTTCAGAATGACTACCCTGAAGCAGATCCTCTCGCAAATATGCCCAGGGGACTTGTTCTTCTCTCTGAATCTGAAAGATGCTTACTTTCACATCCAGGTAGCCCCCCATCACAGACGATTCTTGAGATTCACCTTTGAGGGAGTGGCATATCAGTACACGGTCCTGCCCTTCAGACTGTCTCTGGCTAACCACACTTTTACGAAGTGCATGGACGCGGCCCTCTCCCCTCTGAGACAGATGGGAGTCCGCATTCTGAATTACCTCGATGACTGGCTCATCTTAGCCCAGTCAGAGGCCGAGCTAATATCCTACAGATCCCTCCTCCTCAGCCACTTAGAGTGCCTGGGACTCAGGGTCAATTTTG